ATTAATTATAGTCATAGATGCTGTAAGTATCACTGCACCAACATGAAACCTGAAGAAATTACAGAGCGAAAAGATATTTTACGTCAAATATCTCAGGTTAGTGATGCTATTAGACAAAAGCATAAATTGTTGAAAACGAGGAAAGATGCTGCCGAAAAAAATCTGGATGAACTATTTAGGCCCGTAGTAACACCACTGCAAAGCCTAATTGAATCATCAAAGAAAAATTTTAAGCAAGAAGAAACTGAAAATAAAATCAAAGAAGAAAATAAACTTGCATTAGTTGAAAAAACACAAAATGATGAAATAACTAAGTATGATAGTTTAATGACAGATGATGACACTACTAACAGTAAAATTGATGAAATGCAAATATCTCCTGTAAATACAAGTACTCCAACTAAACCGAATTTATTGACTAAATACTGAATAATTTAAATAAAAAGCATCGTACGATTGATTTAAGATATGGTGTGCGTAAAAAAAACCATGAATTATATATAGGTGATTCAGCTGTAAAATTTATTGGTAATACTATTCATATAAAGGATAAAACCTATCCAGCAACTGAAGGTTTATTGGAGTTAGTATTCCAAAAATCACCACAAGATTCACTGATCACTCGAGATGATTTACAAAAATATTTTGAAATTATGGAGTTTACAAACATGCACAAAAAAAATTATAAACCAGATAATGGTATTTATCGAGATTATACTCAAAAGTTTGAGAAATATATTGCTGACTATCTTGCTAAATATACTGGTGAAGGATTACCAAAATTTATGATAGCAAAAAAACGAAAGGCACACATGGATTATGTTTACTGGGATGATCCAAATGAATTGGTTGACAGACTACATTTGCTGATGGCATCTCAAGCTGCTGGTAATTCAAGCCACACCAATGAAATTATTTCAATTATTGAAGAGTTGAGGGAGGCTGGAGTTATATATTAGCAACAGTTTATGAAATATTTTTTTATACATTGGTTAACATTCAAAGTAAACAGAACAATGAGCATTGATATATTTGGACGATCGTTGAAAAATGGTGTTGGAGTCAGCGGACCACCAGGACCACGTGGACAAGGTTTCAAAATAACTACTGATGGACAATATGATATAGAGAATAGGAGACTGTGTAATGTTGATAATCCTATAAGTGTTCACGATGCAGCAACTGTACAATTTGTAAAAAAAGAACTGTCTGTAATGTATAACAGTTTCATGACAGAACAATCAGAAGTCATTTCACATTTGCACTCCCAAGTGGTAATGTTAGAGACTTCATTTAATTTATTAAAAAAAGAAAATGAAGAATTAAAAGTGATAATAAAACGACAGAAGCATGAAAAAGAATTAATTACTGAGAATACTCAACGAATAAAGAAACTGGAAGCTATAATCAATGGAGGACAAAAAATCAGTGATAGCGCATGAACTTCATAAACCAGCTAGAAGAAATTATCCACATCGTCATTTTGATATTCGTGGAATTGATGAAACTTGGCAAGCTGACTTAGTGGAGATGATCCCATATGCGACTGTGAATAAAGGATATAAGTATTTACTAACAATTGTAGATATATTTTCAAAGTATGCCTAGGCAGTTCCAATCAAAAGGAAGACAGGTGTTGAAGTCATCAGTGCTATGAAGTCTGTGCTTGAGCAGGGGCGAGTTCCCAAAAATTTACATGTTGATCAGGGTAAAGAGTGTTACAATACAGAATTTAAAAAGCTCATGAAACATCACAACATCAATTTATATTCAACATATTCAAACATGAAAGCGAGTATAGTTGAGAGATTCAATCGAACCTTAAAAACTAAAATGTGGCGAGAATTCTCAGCTCGTGGAAGTTACAAATGGATTGATATGCTTGCTGAGTTGGTAAATACTTACAATAATACTAAACATCGCACAATAAAAATGAAACCTATTGACGTAACTAAGACTCAGGAATGGTCATTGCTGGAAAATATTTATATACCAATGAAATCTCAACCATCAAAGAGGAAAAAAAATAGATTTAAAGTTGGGGATGTAGTCCGCATAAGCAGGTACAAGCATGTATTTGAAAAAGGTTACACACCAAACTGGACAACTGAACTATTCACTGTTACAAAAGTGCGAAATACGGATCCGGTAACGTATGAGCTGGAAGACTGGATTGGTATACCAATTAAAGGTGGATTTTACAACGAAGAACTCAGCAAAGCCAAGTACTCAGATATTTTCCTCGTTGAGAAAGTGTTAAAAAAACGTGGAAATAAATTGTATGTGAAATGGTTGGGCTTTGATAGTAAACACAATAGCTGGATTGATGAAACTGATGTGTAAATAAATTATAGATGGAAGGTTTGATACATTGAATTAAAATAAAAAAATTTTAAAACATAAATTTTTATACGTTATTTATAAACCTTGAACTAGATTTACAATTATTTACATTAATTTTCTCTTTTTAAATTTTATTTTCTTAATTTTATCTTGAGTATTCTCTATTTTCATTAAATCATTCACAGACATATTAAATCCTCATGGTAAAGTGTTAGTACTATTTTTTAATAACTGACGTTTATCATCTTCCCAACTTAAAGATAATTTTTTTTGGATTGAAGTCCATACTTCATGATTTTTATTTTTGATTATAAATTGTTCATGCAATAAATTAATGTGGTCATTCAGACATTTTTTGAAATCATTGAATGTGATGGTTTTCAAAGTTGAACCTTTAACGCCTTTTGCTCTTTTTTTAATTTTATCTTTTTCTACAGCAGGATTAAATATTTCAAAAGCATACAGTTTAGCTCTGAGACCCACAAATTCGGACATAATTTTTCCATTATTTTCATCCTTCATAAGCCCTAGAACTTTTTTATTAACCAACGGTATTTGATAAATATTATCAACAGGGTAATCAGAGGTATCGAACTTTGATAGATCACGCTTAATGTCTTCATAAATGTCTGGTACAGTAAAATGGTAGATTAAGCTATCAGTGTCTGTATACATTAATTTGGAGGTATGTTGATAATTGTTTTTAATATAATTATAGTGAAAGTCATAAATGAATATTTTTGATAAATCTAATATAGAAAATCCAACATGGATTGGTTTATTAAAATAGACTTTAGCTTTTGTTAGTTCAATTATAACTATGTTTTCACCAAAAATAGTAAGACTATGAAAATTAGGTTTAGAAATTAAAGCTTTAGCACCATACCTTCCCTCCCATTTAGTAATTAAATGCACATCTTTATGTTTTCTTACATTTTCCATAGTCTTACCAAATACACTGTTATTCATGAGTTTAAATAAATTTTTTTCAAAATCATTCTTGGCCTTTTGTCTACACTGTGTGTTTTTATCAATATATGGCTTTAGCCATGGAGATTGTTTGAATTTCAATATTCTATGAATTTTAGATAACTTTAGACCTAAACTTAAACATTGTTTTAAATTCTTATAATGAATTACATAATTTTTTTTTGAATAAAGAGTTGTAGTTAATTTGGTTAGTTTACTTCCTGGTGGTACAAAGTGTTCAGGACATAGAGGCAAATCTTTGTGTAAATTATGTAACTCTTCTGGGTAATCTAAATCTACTTCTAGTATGTAACCAATACTTTCATCAACATCATTTAAGTACTGATCTACACACCGATTTACCTCTACCCATTCGAATGAACTTTTTGGCAATGACACACTCATGGCTGCACCATACAAATTGTTTACGTCATAGTACATGAGATAGGATTCATCTTTGCTCTGATCAAATTTTTCTCCCATATAACGATTATTTGCCACAGCATATCGATTGACACACATTGAAACCCCACCACGAATGCCCTTTTCAATAAAAAGTAACATTTCGGGATCAGTCAACAGCTCAAGTTCTACACCAGTATAACGAAGCATAGCTTCAAGTGCAAGACCGGGAAGGGTGTAAAAGTGACATGGATCTAAACTATACGTTTTCAAACAACTTGATCTGAAATTTTCAAAAATATCAGCTAGAAGAAGTACATCAGTCTTAAGATATAAGTCTGAGTACTCTCCTAGGGTACCGATATTAAATTTATTCCAAACTAATTTTGCAAAATCATAATCTTCATCAGAAATGTAGTCATTAGATAACCTTGAATAAAATGAGTCTTTATCAGGCAACTGTTTATCATCAAGTTTATCGATGCAATCAATATATTCATATGGGAATACACCTTTACGAGTGACTAATTTGAATTGTTCTGTATCAGGATAATGCGATTTTGTTATTTTTTTATTATCATCTTCAAGATGTGATGATAATTTGTCTAGGCTAGATGCCATAAATTTGAATGAATCTATAAAGCGTAAAGTAACTAAAGTTCCTAAAACTGATTTAGTAAAAGATATATATTTTTCTTTATTAATTGGTAGTAAAGTCATTCTAGCTTTGAAAACTGTAGCTAAATGTTTAATTAAAAAATGAGAGTCATAACCAGATAAATTGTGAAAAACAACTGGAATTATTTGAGGTTTCTGATAATTTAAATTACAGGCTGTATGAGCAGGGCCGCGATAATTGCCCGTAAAGTGATTATGATCATAACATTTATCTTGATCAGAAATGAAAAATTTTTCGCAAATATGACAAATAGTTGCCTGATCATGACTATTCTGTTCCTCTTTAGTTAGTTGTTTCATTGGTATTGGATTGCGTAAATAGTGATCAAATTCAGAAGCTAAAAACTGTAATTTTTTTACAAACCACTCAATGCAAGACGGTGAGCGATTAATTTCAAATTTGGAAAGTTTATCATTGTAAGTGCAATGACAATAAAATGCTATACTGTGTGGAACATGTTTCTGAGTGTTGTTTTCATCATCTCCTTGGGGTTCAAGCATGCATTCTAAATCTGCATATACGATAAATGGTACAGTATCTTTGTACTGAAACTTAGTGAATTTTAAAATTTTATTCTCTTCATTTGGAAGTTCCATACAAACCTTATTTATTTTAAAACAATCAAGTTTGTGTTGATGAAACGATTTTTTTTTTTATAATGATTAAGACATCGATCACAAAAAAATAACTTTGAATGACCTTTGGATAATTGACTTTTAACCAACCTTGATAAATTTTTTATCAGAGCAAAGTGAAATCTAGGTTCATAATTTTTCATATCATTATCGTGAGTATTCATATTTTTCTCTATTATCAATAGATGAATAACTTTTTTAGAGTAAAAATCGTTACTTAAATATACAGGAATTATTTTACTTTTTTCTGAATTTTTTTGTGTAAATTCTGACTCTATGCCATAAACATTAATAGATAAATTATTTAACTTTTCAAATTTAGGGATATCTCTTAGAGCTACAGGAAATTTAATACCTTCATAATTGAGTACTGAACTAAAATGTGGATATGAAGTTGTCCTTTCAGGATGCCCAGTTTGAGGTTCGTATAATGCAGCCACAATACACCAGAGAAAGCAATACTCATCGAAATTCTCAATGTTAAGAACCGCTCTTTTGTGTTGAATATCTTTAGGCAGTTGCACATACGTTGATTCACCAGCCGGTAGAGGTAAAAATGTTGACATGGTTACAACCAAGTTGTTAATTTCCACCAAACTCCATCCTGAATCTTTTTGATTGAATTCTTCAACTTTCTTCAATAATTTATGGTACACATTGTCCATGTACCATTCATCTAATCGTGTAGCTTGTATTATCTCACGGCTTTTCGTGTTAAAAGACTTTTTTTCTTCAACTGTATCACCATTTTTTGAATTTCTGAATATACAGAACAATTCTACATTAACTTTGAGGTTTCCAGCATTTCTCATCATACTTCCAATTTTTTCAATAACTAAATCTTTTGAGTCATTTAAAAATTCTCTTAAATCAGTATGGGCACGATTTACAACACAACCAGTTTTAATATTATTTGAAAAGGCATTCTCAAGGTCTTGCCACTTGATCAGACTATTTCTTGCACTTAGATCACCACTAACAACTTGACCACTTAATCTGGTAAATTGATGAGCATACCAACACAATAGTACAATGTTTGCTTGAACACTTCTTTTGACTTGAACACTTGTTTGCTGATCCATCAAAATAGTATTAAAATATTCAATTGTTTCAGAGCAAACATTGTAACATCTTTGACAATAATCTTCACTCATTGTCTTTTCTCTCAAATCATTAAATGATTGAGCTATTGAGTTGACTAAATTTTGGAGAGATTTGATGAGATCACAAGAATGATTCATTTTTATTGAACTATTTAACACTTAAAATTTGTAAGTAGCTATAAATTGTTTTGCAATAATAATTTTTATAGTTAAAATAAAATATTTTTATTAATGTAATGCACTTTTCCACCTTAGCAGAAAAACAATGATTTTTTTCACTGAAGTGATTGTAGGACACGAGTTAAGTCACTGATTGAAAAAACCTTCACAGTTCGGCTTTATATAGTGGCTAAAATGACTCATGAAAAGCTTATAATCAAAAAAAATTTGTAACCATAATTTCAATTATATAAATATTCATAGAAACCTAAAACCAGCGCGTAGTTATTAAAATTTTTCTAAGCTGACGTACTATTTAAAAAATAATTAGGGGTAGTATTACAACGATTTCTATGATATCATGTATGTGAAAATGTGCAATAACACAAAAAATATTAATTTAGTATAGCTCATAAACAACAGGAAGTCATGAAATTGAATCCTTCAAAATTAATAAATATTACTAATTTATTATAATAAATTTAGTATAGTTCATAAGCAACAGGAAGTCATGAAATTGAATCCTTTAAAATTAATAAATATTACTGATTTATTATAATAAATTAAGTATAGTTCATAAACAACAGGAAGTCATGAAATTGAATCCTTCAAAATTAATAAATATTACTAATTTATTATTTTTTCTTTGAAATCTTGAATTTTATACTGCGTAAAATAATAAATTAGACTGTTGATGAATTCTTTCTTGTTGATCTCAAACTCCTTATTGCTTAAAATGATACTCAAATTCTTTTGAATTTTATACTACGCAAAATAATAATTGTAAAGATTATTAATAAACTTTTTCTCCCAGCAATCTCAAATTTCTTACTGCGTATAGAAATAATTCTGAGAAATGTTGATGAATTTTTTCATTTATTAAGAGGGGGGATCATCCTATAAAGACAGACGATTTGAGCAGAACTGTATAAGTTGAATATTCAGAGTTGCATTGTGTGGTAGAATAATTATATTAGTACGTATATTATTTAGTTGAACAAATTTCTCTAGTTGGAAAAAATATTGAAAATTTGTTGATTCTAGTACGCTATGGATTACTCAAAAGTCAACGTTATTGGTCGTTGTGAAGATTTTTTGCCATCTAAAAAATTGAGTGAGTTAGAAGTTAATAATATTTACACAATCAGTGATGTCAAGTCTGTTAAAGCAAATTATGGAAACACTATCATTGTATCAATTGACAATGAGTTCTCTGTATTTTTACCTAGCAGAGTTGCAAAAATTTTGCTTGATGATCCAAAACTACTCGAAGACATGATCAAAAATGCAAAAGAAAATCACCTGGGACTGAACTATCTTGGTGGAAAATATAATCAATTTGAATTTGTGGGAATTTAAATAAAATTTTGATGTTCACTTTCATTGTTTCAAATTTTATTAATGTAAAACTTCCGTTTACTCATGAAAAAATATAAAAAACAAAACATTTGTATCTATATAATTATAACAATAATAAACTTTTTTTCTATATGAATAAATACCTTTTGTTCATTATTTTATTTAATTAATCATTAATATTATCAGTATTATTTTTTCATAAAAGTTATAATTAATTTACAGTATAAATAAGTTTAGAATATGCTATTGATACTGATACTCTTACGCTATGTTAGAAGCTGGCACTATATTCAAAGGTTGAAATATATCGATAATCGAATGTTACACTTCTGTATATAAAGGTATACATTTTAACATGCATCAGAACGAAACTTAGATGAAGTGGTGGTGAAACGTATGAGGTGAGGTAGCATGTCACTGAGTGGGGATACATGTAGAATATCCGAATAAAGTAGAGAGAATAAAATATATATAGATATAGTAAGACTTAGTATGTAAAGATGATGAGAGAAAATAACATTTAGAATATTTTTAATAACTAACCGAATGCTTTGGAGAATGTAAAAATATTACATCATATAATACTACATCATATTCAAAAAGATTAATTGATAAAAAAACACTCAAAATTTGTGAAAATTTAAAATGGAATTTGAAAGTTTATTTTCATTATTTCATGTGCACTTAATATTTTCATTTGCTTACAAAGAATGTCAAAAACATAAAATAATAATTGTTTCTGTTTAGTTTTCTACATATTAATCCTGTATATTAATATAGATGAATTGAACATATTTGTGATGTTATTTAAGAATTTAATTATTGTTAGAATAAGATTTTTGATTTTTGATTGGTTGAAAAATTAGATGCGCGAAGCACAAAGTTTAAAATTCTAGTTCTATCTTGATGAGACAATTATACACGTTTAAGAAATACTACAATTTTGAACTTTACGCTTCACATGCCCAATTTTTCAACCAATCAAAAATCAGAGACCATATTCTTACAATAATTAGATTTTTAGTTAATTTTTACAACTATTTTTTTTTTAATTCGTCTAGTTTAATAAAGAAAATTTATTTTTCACTTACCTTTTTATAAATATAATTGATAAGCATACAATTATTAGTAGGAATCATTTTTATAAATAAAAATAATTTGTTATAAAAATAATTTATAAGATTTAAAATTTTTTTGTCTTTTTATTAATATTTTTTAAATATAATTTTTTTTCATGTACCAATATATGATTAACACACATGAATAAAGTTTTTTCAAATATACATACAATAATATTAATAAAAAATATATGCTCTTTCATATAATAGAATAATATTTTTGATAGAAAAGTTTTTTTAAAAAAAATGATATAAAAAATCAATGATGATAATTAAGGGGGTATTCTGGTCTAGAAGCCTAAATTTTAGGCATTTTTCAAACTAACA